TTTATTTATTTATTTRTKTGTGTGTGTTAAAGTTTGAGTCTTTCTATGTTTTATATTTAAAAGGTTCTTTTCCTGCCCTGTGGCTTTCATCATTGAGACGAATTCATCATCCTTCTTTATAGTCTCTTCTCCTGCTTTTCACTTGTATCTTTGGCTGTTTCACTCTTTTTTTTTTTTTCCGCTGTTTTGACTCTTCCCTCAGGTCTGTGAGGCGTGGGAAAGTGATCCCAGAGGACCATGTTTGAATTGCCTCTTGCTCCAGCAGCTGTTTGTGGGTGACAGGCACATGCTTTCCCTATTTCTAGAGGTGTTCTATCCACTTCCTGTGTGCTGACATCTTTCCCTTAGCATCACCCTCAGAATAAAAACACCAGAGTACTGACATTGGCTCTAAGCAGTGATATAACTTTTACTGGAGGGAGTGGAGAGGCTGTCCACCTAAATTGCCTAAAATGGATAGATGAAGAAATATCAATAAAAACCCACGTAACTATAATTCTAGATACTTGGGAGCCTGAGGAACAAGGATTACAAATTCAAGGTCAGCCTGAGCCTGCATGACTTAGAAAGACCCTGTAACAAAATAAAAAATAAATAGGGCTAGAGATGTAGCTCAGTTCAGTGTGGATCAGCCTGGGTACAAAAAAAAAAAAAAAAAAAAAAAAGGCAGGAATTGGTGTCTTCGAAATGAACCATATAGGAACTTTTCTAGGATCTCCATGTTCACTCATAGCAGAAGGTAGACTTTCTCATGCCCTGAAACAGAAGTCAATCAGGTACTGAGAGATCCTAGAACAGAGTGAGCCAGTTTCCATTGGCGACTGGGTAACGGAGGGAGTGATAGCGCTGGAACCTAAAGGACTTGGACAACCCACTGCAGATAGGCAGGGAGGCTCTCTGGTGCCTGACTACCTGGTGTCAAGGATAGGACTACAGCACACTAAAGATTTTTGTTTGATGGAACACAGAATTAGTGTGTGGGAAGTGCAGATCCCCTGTATTTTGCTCAAATCCCTGAGGTTAGCTGGGCTTCTGAGTTTCTTAGAATTAGTCTGACACATCCAGAGACTCTTGGGGCAAACATGCCATAAGCAAGCATCTTGGTGAAAGTTGAGTTGAAATCAGCTTGTTGAAACAGGGGCACAAATATAATTTATGTTTCTTAGACTATATCTGAAAGGCTACCATTAGCACCCGCAGTTTTGTGTACCTAGCAATGTGTAAAATTAGTTCATCAATTATTCTTTAAGTGTAAGCACTATGGGTATGCCACTGTTTTATAACAGTCAAATGTAAACAGATCTGGGAGGAATTGGAATCTGTTTTCTTTTCCCTCTTTATGTGTTTAATCTGGAATTTTCATTCACCAATATTGATTGACCTTGTTTGTGTAGTTGTCTTCCAATCTTATTAAAAAGCTTAGCTGGACATGGTAACACATACTTGTAATTCCAGCTTCTTGGAAGGCTAATAAAGCAGGAAGATTACAAATTTGAGGCCAGTCTGGGCAACTTAGCAAGACCTTCCTGTCCCAAAATAAAAAATAGAAAGAGCTGGGGGTGTAGTGCTCAGTAAAGTGCTAACTTGGTTCAGTTTCTAGTAAAGAAGGAGACGAACCTTCTTTACTAGAAAAGGTGAGGACCGTGACCCATGCTTTTCTTCATTTAAGGACCCTTGTTGTTTGGGACTGATTATTGTAAAAATGAAGGAAAAGAATAGAAAGTAGGTTTTTCTTTATTATATTATAGGAAATCTATATTACTTTGTATTTCTGATTATCAATGGTTGCTAGAGGGAGGACACAAAAACTTGAGATTCCATAATCCTGTGTATCTGAGGCTCAAGTATGTAGTTTTTGAACTTTATTTGTGGAATGTGAAAAAGCAAATAAGAATAGCAAAAAAAGCCAACAGCAGAAGTCTCCCTTCTATAGTTGTCAGACAGGCTGTGAAAAGAGTGCAAGAGGTGTGGGGATGTAATTCAGTGATAGAGTACTTTGCCTAGCATACTTGAAGCTCTGGATTCAGTCCCTGGTACTGCAAAAGAAAAATGGGGTGGGGATATGGTGTGGTGGGCTTAGGAAAACAAGATGCTAATCATTGACTTTCCTGATTTCTATACATATCGGCTGTAGTGAGATAGGTACTCTCCTTGTTTAGTAGTTGTTTTACCTAGAATAGTACAGGTTTAGGTATAACTCTATTCTGAAAATCTGAAAACCCAAATTGACACTCAAGAAGTTTCTGATTAGTCCTAAGGATATAGCTCAGTGGTATAGCACCTGGCTAGGGTACATAAGGCCCCTTGGTTCAGTCCACAGCACTACAAAAAGAAAAAGATATTTATGCTAGGGCATAGTGGTGCAGGCTTGGAATCCCATGTGAGAAGCTGAGGCAAGAGGATCATAAGTTCAAGACCAGTCTGGGCAACTTATGGAGACCGTCTCAAAATAAAATTTTAAAAAGGAYAGGAGGTGAGCTCAGTGGTGGAGTGCTTGCTAGCCTACTTGAGTCCCTGGGCTCAATCCCTAGCAATACACATACACATAYAATTTTAGATTTCTTAGCATTTCAGATTTCACATTTCTACCGTAGGGATGTTCAATTAGTAAAGTCTAGGTAAATATTGCCAAATGTAAAAAAAACAAAAATCAGAAAATCTGAAATATTTCTAGTCCCAAGCATTTTCAGATGAGCTATATTAAACCTGTAACTTTGTAGGGGCCACATTCCCCACAAAAAGCAGAGAGTAACACCTTGACATTTGGTTACCAGTCAGTACATAACAAGGTCACAATTATACTTAGTCAATTCTGAGACATTATTAATATTCTGATCCCTGAAATCATTTGTATTTTATAGTCAGTGATTTAAAGAGCATCATGTCATAWTTTGCAGTTTTGACAGTGACTTTTCTTAATAGTACACATAATAATTTTGCCTCTTAAGTGCCAGCTGATAACATATTGATTATCAGATGACAGTCAATGTAGCAAAACTTGAAACACAATTTATTTTTAAAGTCAGTATCTTGAGGTGAGTACACATTGGGTACATAAATGTTGAAGGGTAAGGGCTCAAACAGAGGCTGCTTGCCTGAGGTAGATCCAAGGATTAGTACTGGGATGGAACCAAGAGAGCAGAAAAAGCATTGTGTTTAAGAGAGGAGCCARGAGGGAGGGAGGGAGCAGATCAATTGCCCATCATTGGGGTTTCAGCATCACCACTGGGGTTTCAGGATAGGAATCTGAGGCATCAGATTGAAGGAACTTCAGATCCAGTGTACAGTGCAGAGGAGGCTGTAGGAAGTTGTGTGGAAGCCTTAGAATATGATTTTGAGGTTTGCAACTCAATAGGGAAAGAAAGTCAAGGATGAAGGACCTTGCCCTAAGTGAAAATTTTTTTCACTAACTTCTTTAAAATGTAAAGTCTGTCTTTCAGCTCAACTCAGGAGGCTGAGTCAGTGGTGCTATTTTGTAGCCAAATAACTTGCCACCTGTTTTTCTACCACAGATTGCCTTCTCCCAGCACAGCAATTTTATGGACCTGGTACAGTTCTTCGTGACTTTCTTCAGGTAATTTTTCTCATATAAATATTCCTATTCTTTCAGTTCAAGCCCATAATTCCCTAATTGAAGTTTCAACTTCTATAAGATAAAATAATAATTCTATTTCCACAACAGATTCAAAACGTACTTTATATGTGTCCTGAAAAGTTGCATGTCAGTTTCAATAATGCAAGTTCAGTAAAACCTGATAAAATTAAAACCTCTGGTTTGTAAATTTCAGATTTGGGGGACAGCTTTGCATGTACCCTATATTAAATTACAGATAATTTGGGTCGTCTTATGGGGAGAATTTTGGAATAAATATTAATAATATTTACTGACATGATCTATGTATATGCTTCTCTTGTTCAAGAAGAAGTTCCAGTATTATCTAATGTTTAAACTGAAATTAGACCTCAGGAATTCACTCTTTTATTTTCACAGTCTTATTTTAATTTAATCTGAAAATGCTATATAAAAACAATTGAAAAAGACAAATACTTGCTGCCATGCTTGTAAGTGAAAGTAACAGCATCCTGTCTCACACCTTTCTACCCCTTCCTCCCCCAATTTAAATTTTTCTAGCTGCTTTTTACTATTCTACACTCACACTAATTCTTGTTTATGGTTGTTTGTTTTGTTTTGGGTACTGGGGATTGAACCCAGGGACACTTTACCAATTTAATTAATTAATTAATTAATTTTGAGAGAGGGTCTCACTAAATTGCTGAAGTTGGTCTTGAACTTGCAATTCTCCTGAGTCACTGGGACTACAGSTGTGCACCACCACACCGAACCTACACTAATCCTTGATTTTTCCAGTTATCTCTTGGTGTCCCCTAGAAGATGAGGATTTACTCTTACGTTGTCCCATCCAGCAACTCCCCCCATACCACAAATGCATACAAAATCTCCTTCTTCCCATTCATTTGATTCAGTTATATCTCAAGAGTTTAGCTAAATCAGTGATCCCTATTTATGTTATTATGACCCCTAACACTCTTATACACAGCTGAATTGAACTTAGTATCTCCCTGTTTTCTGAATAGGAAATTATTTTCTGCTTATCCTAAATCTAATATTTGCCCTGTTTTGTCTTTTTAATGTTTGATTTTTTTTTTTACAAACCTACCCCTGATTTATGCCTGTACTCTGACAGAAATGAAACACCTGTCACTGTTGTGAAATCCAAGCAGGTGTTCTCTGAGAGACGTTTGCACTGGAACCCTCTGTCCTCTTGCCCTCAAGTGCACTAAGTTGTCCAAGACCTGCTGCACAACTGTCATGTTAGGAATGTCCTGTGCCTTCCTCCTGTGTTGAAGTCTGTTCCAGATCTCATGTCATAACCTTGCTATATATCCCCTCCTTTCACTGAAGCACATTTTCCAGTAGGTTCCTGAGAAAAGGTACATGGCCAGTACCTTTCCTGTAAGCTTCCCCTACTGAAAATGAAACCAATTTTTTTTTCTTTTTGGTATTGGGAATTGAACCCAGGGGTATTCTTCCCAGGGTTACATCACTAACACTTTTTATTTTTTTTAAATTTTTTATCACTAAGTTACCCAGGTTGACCCTGAACTTGCCGTCCTTCTGCCTTACTCCTAAGTAGCTGTGATTACCTCATTTTTTAAAACAACATTTCCCATAATATGAATGTGTCATGTTTTATTTGATTATTCCTCTTTTATGTGAGTCGTAGATTATCCTCAGTTTTTGTTGCATATATCTTTTTATTTTTCTGTGATTGTCTTTCCAGGATAGTTTTCTGTCCTATAATCACTGTATCATAATTTAAAAATACTTCCAGATGGCCGCAAAAAGCTTTTACTTGAGTTAACTCTCCTACAGCAAAAATGAGCCTGCCTGCTTCTTCCACTCTCCTGTGCTTAGCTAGAGGAATAAAAATAACAAGTAGCAGCATTATGCTTGGAAACAAGAAAGACAGAGAAGGTTATTCTCAGAGTCCTTTACTCCTTCCTGTTCTTCCCAACTTCTCAATGTTGGGCAGTTAGCACATTCTCCTCTACCTGTATTCTTCCCTTGGTGACCTTATCAGGTTGATTGCTTCAAACACCACATGTATACTGATGACTCCAGGCAGACCGGTACCCAGCCTGCAGGCTTGTTTATCTTCTGGGATGTCTTGCGTTAGCATGTCCCGCCTGCAGGCTTGTTTATCTTCTGGGATGTCTTGCGTTAGCATGTCCAAAATGGGATTCTTGATTTGCTGTTTCCTTCCTGTTTCATCCAGAGCTTTTCCCTTCTAGGTTGATGGCAAGTCTCTCAGGCCAGAAATTTGGACTGTTGTATTTCTTCTGTACCCTGCATCTAGCCCATCAGGAATTTCTGTTGTCTCTACCTTCAAATTATACTTTTCACATCCTTGCTGCCATCACCCTGGTTTGAGCCACCATCAGCTCTCAACTTACACTGCTTCTCTCCTGTAGTTTCTATCCAAATGGTTGTAAGTTAAATCATGACCCTTTTCTGCTCAGAAACCAGTATAGCCTCTTTGTCCCACTCTAAAATCCAATGCCATTATTCTGCCTACAGGGCCCCATGGTGATCTTTCCTCTGTCTTTACCCCCTTACTCAGCCTTTTTCTCTGGCCTAACTCAGCCCATTGCAATACTACTGGCCTCCTGTGGCTCCTTAAACCTTCATAGACATTTTCTTGCCTGAGGCTTAATACCGACTGATCCCTTTGGCCCAGGGCACTTTGCACTTCCTCCTAAGTATCCTCTGAGTCTCTGCTTCCACTGTCACTTTCTCAGGAAAGAAGGCCTACACACTCTGCCTATATATTGTAGCTTCCCTCCCCTTTGATTTTTTTTTTGTCCTGGAGATCAAACCCAGGGCCTTGTGTGGGCCAGGCAAGCTCTCTTGATATTGAGCCACACCTTCTTCCCCCACTCCAAATGTTCCAGAAGTTCTCATCCTTCCTTGCATTTTTATGGCTGTAGCCCTTGCTGCCTTCAGCAGGCTTCTGCATTTGCTTCTTTATGTTGTATACTAGTGGTCTCTACTTGGTGAAATGGAAACTCCACAGGCCCAGAAATCTTTGTCTGTTCATTGATGTATTCCATGGGCCAAGAACAGTACCTATCCCAATGAAGTATTGATTAAAAGAACYCTGTAGGCTGTCCAGGCCCAGCAAGATAGCAAAATAGGAGCTAAAGACTCTCCCTTGGGATGACCCTGAGGAATTCAGGGCACTTCTCTTTTGTCAAGGCACCTTTTGGAGGGTTCTGAACCATTGTGCTTCCTGGGGAGGGCTACAGAAACCTGGAGGTTTCTGTTTGTGAAAGAGTAGTTGTCTCAGTGTCAGCACTTGGGTGCACTAAAGTGCCATGCATGAGATTGACCTCATCCCTTATGCACTGAGGCTTGCAAGGGGGTACCTGACAGCAACATAATAGAGAATCTTATGTCTGCCTTTAAAATACTCTGGGAAAATACTCTGCAGCAAGCCCCTTTTAAAAGTTAATGCCAATTTAAAATTTATAGCAGTTATATAAGAGGTTGGTTTGGTAGACTCACATTTTTTTTTTTTTTAAAGCAAGTTAGTCATTTTCTTTGCCATCACAGTRACTTTTAAAACCATCCAATACCTGGTCTGTAGATGAGATAACATAGAAACCCTTTGCAGTTATAAATAACTGGGATTTATTTTTTTCCTAATTTTTTAATAGTTATTTTTTATTTGTAGTTGGAAACAATACCTTTATTTTATTTATTTTTATGTGGTGCTGAGGATCGAACACAGGACCTTACACGTGCTAGGCAAGCACTCTACCACTGAGCTATAATCCCAGCTGCATTTTCATAATATTTTTTTAAGAGAGTTGTTGGCTTGAGTTTGATTACTTAAATGTAGGTTTTTGTTGTTGTTTGTTTGACTGGGGGTTGAACTCAGGGGCATTCTATATTGAGCTATATTACCAGCATTTATTTATTTATTTATTTATTTATTTATTTAGAGACAGAGTCTCTCTAAGTGCTAAGGCTAACCTCAGATTTGCAGTCCTCCTGCCTCAGCTTCCTGAGTTGCTGGGATTATAGCCATGGGTCACTATGCCCAGCATTAAATGTATTTTACTTTATGAAAAATATGTTTTTACTTTTAAAATATTATGAATATAAATCATTACATGTACATTTCTTCTGTTTATTTCTTTTTTATGAAAAGCTGTTACTTGAATAATCAACTTTTCTCATTTTCTTATAGTTCACCAGTAAATGTTTGTTACTTTGATTAAATGGCTTGCTTATTATTTGCTGTCATTATCTTAGAATTGTTTTTCTTATTTGGGATAAGCCATGATGGGCCATTCTGATGAAATTAGATGTCAGGACACTCTCTAAGTACCTAATAGGAAATGGAGATCTTTTGTGGACATTAGGGTCAGGAAGCTCACGGCTCACACTTTGCTTCCTGTGAACTAGAACATTGTGATGAAGCATCAGAAAGGAACTTGGAATTGGGATTTGGGGAAATGTTCATTTCTGGGCCTAAGGTATGGGTGGTGGTGGTCCTGATTCTGGGCCTGAGATAATAACTCAGTATTTTCTTTCTCACAGTTGTTTCCTGTCTTTGCTCCTGGTGGCTGCTGTGGTTTGGAAGATCAAACAAAGTTGTTGGGCTTCCAGGCGTAGAGAGGTAAGACTTAATGGATACAAATTGAAGAATCATCATAAGATATTTTTTTTTCCTTAACCCATATGTCCTGGCATCCTATATGTAGCACACCTATAAAAACTTAAATTGAGCAACAATTTGAGGTTGCGTAATAGATGTTTTATTTATAGTTCTCCACTCTATGGGACTCAGGGACATGATGGATTAAGCAAATCAGTTTTAACTATTGTGTATAATTGATAGAGTATCTGTAGAGAGAAGAGTGCCATTCTTTCTGAAGCATATTGTTTTGAATATACCATTATAGACTTAGATTAGTGTTACATAAAGCATCAGTAATTCCTGCCATGGCCATGGCCAGCACATCATGGCATGGTCATCAAAAGAATCCTTCATAAGAATGAGGGAAAAGGGTCTGGGGATGCAGCTCAGTAGTAGAGTGCTTGCTTAACCCAAGTCCCTGGGTTAGATCCCCAGCACTCCTTACCCCAAGTGTAAAGAATGAATGAAAAATAGCCATTTAAGCATCTCAGAGTTTCTTTATTAGTCAAAGAATTAAAAATATATCTGAATTTTTACCTGGAGTTTTATTTTTCAATGAGTATTGATTTGTTGCTGGAGACCATTCCAAAAGTGAAAAGTCAAACAGACATTCACAATGGACTAATTTAGATAAGTAAACTTAGTTTAAAATCACAWCATAAAAGCCTGTTTATTACAACTTTCAATTGCAGCATTCCTTTCTGTTATCATTATGTCTGTTACATTTTGCCAATGGAAATGCTCATATATAAGATCTAGTCTTGGATGTATTCCTTGCATTTCTATATGTACTTGTATGTTTTTCTGTATGAAAGTTTATAAATTCAATCCCCAACACTGCCATCCCCCCCCCCAAGAAAAACCCCAATTATTTATAGATGAGATTTAGAAGATAATGAGAGTATTAAAAATCACAATTCACTAGCATCTGGCACTATTTATATTTGTCTGAAATAGGGTTAGGATAGGCTCCAGAATATGGGATATATATGATTCTATAGCACCACCTTTTCTGTCATACATGAAGGTAACATCATCATAGAGGTATTGTTATATCCTTTTTATTATTTTTTAATACAGGGTATAACATATTCAGAAGGTTTTTTGTTTGAGGTTTTTATGTTTGTTTTTTTTTGAGATGGGGTCCTATTGTGTTACCCAGGCTGGCCTTGAATTCATGGGCTCAAGCAATCAGGGATTTTAAAAATACATTTGTTAGTGACACATTTAAAAATCACAGTGAATTATACAATGTTCTGGGGGGAGGGGAAATCAGGTTATCAAAATCGAGAAAGAAGTAAAATAGCTACAGTAAACCAGTTAACAAAGAAAGGATTGAAAACTTATCAAAGTATTATTCTCTCAAAGAAGAGCATTAGATCCAGGAATTTTTAGAGTTAAGATGGATTTATGGAGATAATGATAACTATTCTTCTTTGGGAGCTTATGAGAATTATATTTCCAAAAATTTATAAAATGTTTCAGAGCAAAGGGGAAAAAAACAGTTAAAAKATTTCTAATTCATTTTATACATAGAAACCTTGATACCAACTGGGTGTGGTTGCATGCATCTGTAATCCCGGAGGCTGAGGCAGGAAGATTGTGAGTTTGAAGACAGTCTCATCAACTTAGCAAGCCCTAAGAACTTAGTGAGACCCTGTCTCAAAAAACARCAATGAACAACAACAACAAAAAACACAAAGTATGTAGTTCAGTGGTAAAGCACCCATGGGTTTGATCCCTGGTACCAAAAAAAGCAAAAAGAAACCTTATAATAAAACYTAACAAAGGTAGCATCAAAAAACAAAGGCCAATTGTGTAATAAATATATGTTCAGCTGACTTATTGCTAGAATGATAAAAGGATCATTTAATGTCAAACCACCTATTTTAATATTTCTTATCAGTGGATTAAAAAAAATAAAACCTGAATTCTTAGAAGCCAAGTAATCATTTAGTCATCGATTGAGATATAATACCCATTCCCAATTTAAAAACAAAACTCTTGGCAAGTTCAAAAATACTTGCTTAACTCTATGAAGAATACCTAGGTAACTCTGTAAGTCACCTATCCATTACTATTACAAACACTTAATATATTATCAGCTTACAAAGAGTAAAGGTTCATGCCTGGTGGTACATGCCTGTAACCCCAGCAGTTTGGGAAGCCGAGGCCAGAGGATCACAAGCTCACCAGCCTCAGCTACCTAATGAGATTTTTATCAAAATAAAAAATAATTTAAAMAAAAGACTAGAGATAGAGCTAATTTAAAAACAAAATTCTTTGTAAACTCAAAAATACTTGTTTAACTCTATGAAGAATATCTGGATAACTGTTAATCATCTTTCCATTAATAAAACAAATACTTAAAATAATCAACTTATAAAGAGGAAAGTTTWAAAAAAAATAAGTACCCTTGGGTTCAATCCCCAGAAAACTCAGTCTTCATAGCCTATGTTCCTAATCATTATGCTTCCACAGTCACTTGACTTTGTTCTGGATGTTCTAGACTATGCACTAAAAGAGTAGTAAGTTTTGTTACTATTGCAAAGGCAGTACAATTATTTTATATAAAGTTATTGAGGTATTATAGTATAAAATTTTCCTGCATAAAAATCAGTATGTAAGTAATGAAAATAGCCAGGCGCAGTGGTGTACACCTATAAACTCAGGTACTAGGGAGGCAGAGGCAGGAGGATCACCAARTTTGATGCCTGCCTAGGCAACTTAGTGAGACCTTGTCTCAAAATAAAAAATAAAAAGGGTTTGGGATGTAGCTTGGAGAGCACCCCTGGGTTCAATTTCCAATATCCTCCTCCACACACAAAGTATATAAAAATAAATAAGTGAATAACCCAGAAGAGAAACAATCAATTGGAAAATATTTGCAACATACTTGAAAGAGAAAATAAGAAGATGAAAAACTTGTTGAAACAGGTTAAAAGTATGCTTGCTATGCACATGATCAACTAATAAACTAAACTTTTAACCTATAATTTGAAGTGTCTTGGTAACTCTGAACCTGATCATTCAGGATATATATTTTATCATTTCTAGAATACCAGTCATGATTTATTCCTGTGAAAACACTCTTTAAGTCCTTGCTACATACCAGGCCCTGCTTGAAGTACTTATACTCATATTAGCTCTTATACTCTTCACAAAGGGTAGAAGAGTGGAAACTGCAGGAGGGTAAGAACACTGTCATACTGTGACCCCAGCCCTTAGAACAGCTCAAAACCCAGAGTAGGGGGTTGCTGCATATATCTGTTGAGTAAATGGACCAACAGCATTATGAAATGAAGGAATTTATTATTGGTTTTTAAGAAAATGTTTATGTAAAAAAAAATGCCTTTTTAGCACAGAGTCATCATCTGTGCAGCCCAGAATTCTGTCTCCTATGATAGTTTCAAGGAAATAGATGAAAGCAAGGCCTATTTGTCTTCCATAGCATAACCACAAGGCTTCAAGAACATGGCCAGAAGATCTCCAAAATCCATAGTGATACACAAATAACCACACTATATGCTAGGCCCCGTGCTGTGGCTATCTAATGCCAATGGCAATCTTAAGGGAGGATAACAAATTTCAGAGAGGAGGAAACTGAAACCCAGAGATTTTTAAACATCTGTTTTAAAGTAGCACACCTGGAGAGCATTGGAGCAGGGATTCACATCCTTACCTTAAATCCAGAGCCCTTGCTCATCCCTCTGCTCTGCAGAATTTCTTTTTTTTTAGCTTACAACACCTCTCTGGAGAGTGCTCTTAGTTCCTGACTGTTGTGAACAAGGCAGTTTTTTGCTATTGTGTGGATACCTGGTTCAGTTTTCTGCAGGAAAAGAGAAGGACTGACTTTAATCTAATAATAGAAATGTGGAACCCATCATTTTAGGTGTTGACCAAGAGACATCATAGCATCATATTCACCAGTACTTCAGTATGTATCTCTAATAGTTAAGGACTTTAAAAACAAGAGTAGTGTTACCACATCCAACAAAATTTAATAATTCCTAATGTCATCTAACACCTAGCTCATGTCCCATTTTCCCCAGCTGTTATAGAAGTATCATTTGGGTTTGATTTGTTTGAATCAGGGAGGATAAGGTATTTTTAATTTGCAGTGTTCATTAATAAAATCCCCTCAGTACTCATTGCATTAATGCTTGCTGTATTGTTCATTAGCAACTTCTTCGAGAGATGCAGCAGATGGCCAGCCGTCCCTTTGCCTCTGTAAATGTTGCCTTGGAAACAGATGAAGAGCCTCCTGATCTTATTGGGGGGAGTATAAAGGTGAGAATGTGGTTCAACATCCCTATAACTTAACTTCTAAACTCAAGCTTCTGAGTCTGGCAAACCAGAGAAGGCAGATTGCCTTATCCTATTTCCTCTTATTTTTCTTTTTTGTTAAAGAATATGTGAAAACACCAAGGTTCTCTATTCTTTTGCTTTCATTTACCAGCATTGGTTCATTTCATTAAGCAGTCATACCTTCAGGAGATTTTAACATTTATGTGTCTAATTTTATTTTACTTTTTTTTTTTTAAATGTGTGTGGTACTGGGGGATTAATCCCAGGGCCTTGAGCATGCTAGGCTAGTGTTCTACCACTGAGCTACATTCCATTTAAAAATATTTTATTTGGAGACAGCATCTCCCTAAGTTATCCAGTCTGGTCTTGAACTTTCTATCGTCCTGCAGCGGCCTCCTCAGTAGTTGAGATTACAGGTGTATGCCACTGTGTCCAGCTCTGATATTCTTTTAAGTATTCTGTGGCACTATAAACTTTTTATTTGAAAATAGTTAAGCGATTACTCTGTATTTTTCTTCCTCCCCACTATGGGGATTGAACCCAAGGTTTTGCACCTGCTGGGCATGTTCTCTACCACTGACTATATATACCCCCAAGCCCTCCACCCCTTTTTGTTAATTTTTATTTTGAGACAGGATCTTGATCAGTTATACTGGCATTAAACTTGTGATCCTACTTCCTCAGCCTCCCAAATAGCTTGGGGATTATAGGTATGTGCTTCTTCCCTCTGGCTCCCCATTGTTCTTCATAATGATATTTTGGGTTTTTTTTTTAACACTTCAAAATGATAACTCACTATGTATTCTGTGGAAAATAAATATTTTGACTCCACTGGAAATGATAAAGAAAGTGGTAAGACTTTTTTCTTTAGGTAAAATGATGAAATATTTCAGATATTTTGGGAAAACAGTTGTATGTCCCAAATAGAATATATATTATCAAAGCATAACTGAGCTCACAGAAAGTAGGTAAAATCTTCAGAGAATATTCTCCCTTCTCTCCCCAAAGAAAGAACAAACTGTGAACCAGAACCAGGTCCATGAGTTGTCCAAAGTGATTTCAGACTGGGAACACACCACAACTCCCCATTGAAGTGGATGTAAATCTTTTCCATAGGAAAATATCCCAGTCACTATAAGATTCACAGATCAAAATCAAACCATTAATAATTACCAAGTATGAAAAGATGTAGCTATCATGAATGAGTGAATAGAAACAACAAACAATGGATTTAGCTAGGACTGAGAATGTTAGAATGAACATATTAAAAAATGCAATATAACTACATATGAAGTGTTTAAAGGAATAAAAGTTGGAACCATAAAGGTGAGGAAGCCATGAGAGTCAAGAATAGCCAAACAGATCTGAAAAAAGAACCAAAAGGAACTTGAAGAAATGAAAAATATGGTAGTTGAAACATTTAAAATAAGTTACTCATCTAATTTGTTAAATAACACATTAGATACAAATGAGAACTTATGAACTGAAGGAGAAATATGAAAAAATTATATAGAATTTTAGCATATAACAACAAGGGAATGGAAAATATGAGGACTAATACAAATATGGAGGCCAGGATAAGGATATACCACATATGTATTTTTCACCGTACCAGAACAAATGAATGGAAGAGAGGCAATATTCAAAGATTTAATGACTGAGAATTTTCCAGAACTGTTGGAAATGACATGTATATCAGATTACAGAAGCAAAACATCATAAGGAGGATTAAAGAAAGCAAGCAAGAAGGAAGACAAACAGAAAACTGTGGTTGGGTTATCATAGCAAAACTGCAGAACTGCAGAGACTAATAGAGCATCTTAAAATTAATGCAGAGATAAAACTGTCATCTACAGTGTAAAGAAATTGGGACCCTCCTGTGCTGTTGGTGGAATTATAAAATAATACATCTATAAAACTGAAAAAACAGTATTGCTGTTCTTCAATTAAAAATAGAATTACCATATGATCTAACAATTATATTTCTGACTGTGTACTAAAAGAATCAAAAGCAGAATCCAAAAAATATTTATATACCAATCTTCATAGCAGGATTAATCATAACACCCCAAAAGTAGAAGCAACTAAATGTCCATCAATGAATGAATACCTAAAATGAACATTATTCCTCCTTAAGAAAGAAAGAAATTCTAACACATGCTACAACATGGATGAAACCTGAGGACATTGTGCCAAGTGAAATATACTAGTTACAAAATGCCAAATACTATGTGATTCCACTTACATGAAGTGCCTAGAATAGTCAAATTCATAGAGAAAAAAAATAGAATGTTGGTTTTCAGGAGTAAAAAGGAGAGGAGAATGGGGAGTTCTGGACATGGATAATGGTTATGGTTGCATAAGATATGAATGTATTTAATGCCATGGATTTATACACTTTTACATGGTTAGATAGTAAATTTTATACATATATCACAGGTTTTTAAAAGCTGGTAAGGGATGATTCAGTGGTAGAATGCTTGCCTAGCATGAATGACACCCTGGGTTTAATCCCCATCACTATCAAAACAAAGAAAAAAAATTGGGAAATGATTACCTACAAGGGAATGACAAATGGACAGCTAATTTCTCACTAGTAACACCAGAAGCTAAAAGAAAGTAGAATGGAAAATAGAAGAACAAGCCAGGCATGGTCATGAATGCCTGTAATCCTAGTTACTTGGGAGGCTGAGCCAGAGGATTGCATGTTCAAGGCCACCTGGGCAACTTGGTGAAACCCTATCTCAATGTAGAAAAAAATGTAAAGGGGCTTGTGGTATAACTCATTGGTAGACAGTTTGCATGTTCAAAGCCCTGGGGTTTAATCCCCAGTACCACTAAAAAGAAAAAAAAAGTAGAAAAGACTGCCTTCAAAATCCTGAAAAAGAACTGCCAACCTAGACTAACTAATATGCCCAGTAAGTTACCTTTTAAGACAAGCATGAAATAAAGTCATCTTCAAATTAGAAGAAAAACAGAATTTGCTACCACCAACAAACATATAAAGAAATTTCATAAGGGACTACAGTGGCCTATAATGTCAGAAGGAATAGTGAGTAAATAAAATCATAAGCATGTTTGTAAACTTAAAACAATGTCCTGATAAAATAATAATTTGCAGGGTTAAAAAAAATTATGGAACTGGTAAAGGTGACAAATTGGAGGCTAGCCTGGGCAACTGAGACTCTGTCTCTAATTTTTTTTTTAATTTGGTTCTCTTTAACTACATCAAAATAAAAGTGTTTTAAAAAGTGTTGATGATATAGCTCAGAGGGCCATGCACATTCTAGGCAAGTGCTCTACCACACTAGTAGTCCAACTTTTAACAGTTGCATAGCCTCAGGCTTTATCTTTTGGCCTCTTATCATGTCTTTTACAACCATCCCTTTGGTATCTTATGGATTTAAAGCCCATGATTCCTTTCACTCAGAACTCTTCCAATTGACTGATGTACTCAATTATTCACTCAGTGTGACCACTTGGGTGTTTTAACGGGCTTCTCATACTAAACATATCCAAACCAGTGTCTGGATATTATCCCCCAGGGCTGCTCCTCTGGTACATCTTCTCCCACTCAGCAAATATCACCCCATTATTCTAGTTGTTCAGGCTAAAATGTGGAATTGTCCTTGACTCACTCTTGCTCTCTTGTCCTCTCATTGGACAGCCCATCAGCAATTTTATGCTATTTTATATAGCATTTCCCAACCACTGCCCCACCCCCTGCTGCTATCTTCTTCTAAGCCACTGTCATCTCTCCCTTGTATTCTTGCAGTTGCCTCATAACTGAATCCCTACCTTTGCATTTTACCCTTCTAGTCACTACCCTGTGCATAGCCAGGAATATTAGAAATTATTTTCTTCAATCAGATTAAAGGAATTGATGACATATTTGTGAATAAGGTAGGCAGAATTCTAAAGACGATCCCCAAGATTTCTGTCCCACAATCATTCARTCAAACAGCACTCTAGGTACTGCTATAAAGGAATTTTGCAGATGTGATAATAGTCCCAATATGGTTGGCTTTCACATCCAGAGAGTTTCTCTAGCTGGATGCAGAAGAGGACACCAGGGAGATTTGAAACATGAAAATGACTAGATGCACCATTCCTGGTTTGAGGTGTAGAGGGCCATGTGGGATGGAATAGTAATGGCTTCTAAGAGAGTGGCCCCTGACAGTCAGCAAAGAAATGAATTCCCTAGACATACAGTCACAAGGAACTTGAATCTACCTATAGCCCAAATGAGTTTGGAGMGGATTCTTCCCCAGAGGATACCCACCAATAACTCAACTTCAGCCTTGTCAGACCTTTGTGAGAGAACAGCTGAGGATTTTCCAGAACTGATCAGAGACATGAATTGGCCTATATCTCTAAGCAGAGAACCTTACAGAGCTTTCATGGACCTCTGACCTATAAAACTGTGAGATAGTAGAAGGATGTTGTTTTAAGCAACAAACTTTGTAGTAATTTGCTATATAGCAATAGAAACTAATATAGGCAGCATTTTTACACATCACATCTAAAGGCTGCAACAGAAAAGGAAGGTATGTTCTCCAAAATCAAGTGCATTCAGCAGGTAGACCAGGATCCACTTGTTGAGCTGTTTAGCTATTATAATTTATATCCAGGGGGCTTATCTACCTGAAAGACAAGTAAAATAAGCTTGAAATAAAAAAAAAAAGTAGCCATAATTTCAGGATCTATATTTGAGCCAGGTTTGCGAAACTATCTGACAAATCTATCAAACACTTTCCTTTGACAAGTGTGAATTAGGATTTCAAATTAAGTGAAAGTATAGAGCCCAAAGGAAGCCAACTGGACATGGCCCTTTCCTATAGTTAAGGCCTCCTTGGGGCAGGGGGATGTCAAAAATAGCAGTCTGTACTATTCCTGTTACTGTTCATTCTGTCATTTGGGTTATCTACTGTATGTGTGCCTCAAGTTGGCAGTGCTTGTAAGCACCAATGAACATGATGTGTCTGGTAGATTAAAGCTTGTGGAACACCAATTTAGGTAACACTTTGTTTTCTTTTGCCAGACTGTTCCTAAACCCATTGCCCTGGAGCCATGTTTTGGGAACAAAGCTGCTGTCCTCTCTGTGTTTGTGAGGCTCCCTCGAGGCCTGGGTGGAATCCCTCCTCCTGGGCAGTCAGGTGAGTAGATGGCAGTGACAAACATATTATTATCCGGTCAAGAACCTAAGCCTTGGATTCTTGTCCTTTCTAGAGAATGGGATGTGAAGGATGCTGAGTAGTGCCTTCAGGTTGTGGCAAGGATTTGGTTATTTATTCTCATTTTCATTTATTCCCCAAACTGTTTTCCTGTAGTTACCATTCCCTTTCTGGGGAGAAGTTCAGGGGCCCTCTCACTGTGCCCAGTTTTCCTTGACTTCTCAGTGGCAGGGATGGTTCAGGCTATACTTTGTTTTATTCACTGTTTCTGTTCGGCCTTTACTCTGCTGCTCCCTCCTGTCTTTTTCCTTGTTCTGCCCCTGAATTTAGGCTTTTTCCCACCTGGGGCCTCATATCCTCTTCCCTTGCCATGTTCTCCCTGCCCCTGGCATCTCACCATCTCCTCAAAGCTGATGATGCTCAATTTGGTATTTCTAGCTCTACTCTGTTTCTTTTGCTCTTTTAACTATAAGCCCCTAATAACAATTGTAACAATATAAAGGAGATTTTTTAAAAATGTACTCACAGTTCTACATGCTAACACTCACTAATTTTCAGTATTATTTCCTTCCTAGCCCTTGCCAGTAGAGTAGCCAAAATGATTGTATAGATGTAATTTTTATTCTCTCATCTATCATTAACATTTTTTTATAACTTGATACATTTTTTACCAGTGTCTCACACTTTTCCATCAAATACATGAATCATAATATACATGAACATGAAGGCAGTTGGAATACAGTTTTGGAAATATCTTGATTAATCATGAATATTTACAGGGATGCCTCAAGCAACATAAACAGTTTTAGACAACCTTCTATTGTGGTGATCCTGGGGATCAGACTTGCCTTAGCCAAAGAAGATTTTGAGTCTGGAAGGAAAGTGTGCCCAGGATTCTTGTCCACTCTGAGCTCTATATCCCATCACTGTACCCTCAGACACACAAGGACCTCCAGCTCAGCTTGTAGGATGGTGGGGTTCTGTGGTATCCTCACAAGGGAGGCATTCGGTATGGAAAGGCAACAATTCATTATCTTCATCTCATCTCAGAATCCCTGGAGTTGAGCCCCTAACCCAGTGTGGATAGTAATACTGAGAACAAGGTACCTCTGTAAGTTGACTCTGGGGCAGTGATTGTCTCCTGCTATCCTTGGGCTCAGCAAACTTTAGAAGATGTTCCTGAAGGGACATGGAATGAGCATGGGAAGGCAACAGGTTTGCAATACTGTAGCCTTTCCTATTCCAACTTTCATCCATACCTCCCCCACCACACATACTTCCCAATGAGGCCCTGCTCACTGCTTGGGACCTACCCCAATAGTAGGGCCATTTTTGCCAACCCTTCCATACCTGGTTTTTTTTTTTTTTTTTTTTCCTTTTGGTGGTTCTGAGGATCAAACCTAGAGGCATGCACATGCTAGTCAGGCACTCTACCATTGAGTCGTACCCCCAGTCTCTCCCCATTTTAAGTGGTTCCTTTTTCTGAATTCCCAGGGCACCTGGCTCTGCCTTTGCCATAATAGTTATCACTGGTGTAGATTCTCCTACTCTGTGCCAGGCACTAAACCAGACATTTAAGTGCTGTCTCACTCTCTACCCCACTTTATAGGCTCAGTGGAGGTAGAGTATAACAGACTTTACCAATAGCTCTTAAAGGGTGACCTCAGCAGAGCTCTGAGCTTGGGCTGGCCATAGTCCCTAACGCAAAATGCCTTTTACTCTCATAAAAGGTTATGGTTACTAATCATTGCTATGTACTGGATATGGAGACTTTACATCATTTCCCTTATTGACTCCTTCCCCCAGCCCTGTGCTATTATTATCATCCCCATTTTACAAATGAGGAAACAGAGACATGGGTAGGTTAAAGAACCTTGCTTTTGGGCTGGGGATGTGGCTCAAGCGGTAGCGCGCTCACCTAGCGTGCGTGYGGCCCGGGTTCGATCCTCAGCACCACATACAAACGAAGATGTTGTGTCCACCGAGAACTAAGAAAAAATAAATAAATGTTAAAATTCTCTCTCTCTCTCTCTGTCCCCCCCCCTCTCTCACTCTCTCTTTAAAAAAAAAAAAAAAAAACCTTGCTTTTTCCAGAGCCTGCTCCCAGAGTCTGCTCTGCCCTGTATCTTTGGTGGACATAAAACAACTCATACAAACTGAGTGATGTGGGATGAATCTGAGTGATGTGGGTGCCTTTTTTTGCCACCATTGTGGAGGTAGATGGAGAAGGTACACACCTTGAGTATGGCTGCAGTCTTAATTCATAAGTTTCCACTGCCAAGCAGAGCACATTTCTTAGGTAGTTTACTGACAAACTGCACCTTTTATGCAAAATTGGGGAGGGGAGGAAAATATGTCTTTGCATTTGCATAAATAAAACCTGAAAGAATATGAAACTAATGGAAGAGTTTATAATTTATCATGAAATGGGGATGGTGGAGKGTATGTAGTGTAGAAGTAAGACTCTTCCCTCTATACCTTTTTTTTCCCACCATGAAATGTAAAAAAGAAAAATTAAAAACAAAAGCAAGCTGCTCCTTGACATGTGTTCCCTCTGTGGGTTCTCCTAAGGTCTTGCCGTGGCCAGCGCCCTGGTGGACATTTCTCAGCAGATGCCAATAGTGTACAAAGAGAAGTCAGGAGCTGTAAGAAACCGGAAGCAGCAGCCCCCTGCACAGCCTGGAACCTGCATTTGATGCTGGGGCCAGGAACTCTCCCGCGCACACAGGAGCATGTGGCCCACCAGAGCCGTCTGCAGGGGAGGGCGCAGGCAGGGAAGCAGCGGTGCAGGGCGGGGCAGAAGACTGGAAACCCTCAAAGTATCCGACTCATCTGCATGATCACAAGCTTTCTTTGATGGTTTCTCCCATCTGTGTTCGGCATCTAACCTTTTACTTTTGCATAGGAAATAATCAATTTAATTACAGGTCCAGGGATAATYTGATTGTTGCTGGAGGAGGCTGGTATAGAGCCAGTGAGAGAGCTAGGAATGATGCCCAGGTTCACTTGTGGAACTGTTCTTGGGACTGTCTCAACTGCAAAAAAATGAAAGATGAAGTGTTTACACACAGACCTTCGTTATCAGTTGTTCTTCAACTTGGTCTTTTAAAGACTAGTCAGATGAATTAACTTGTTTCATCTGAAGCCTGCTATCTTTTTAAAAGATGTGCTGTTTACTCTTGCACAATTTCGGCAGATATCTCTCTTCCAGGAAGTAGCTTTTTTCTAGTTCAGAATTAATGGTCCATCTCTTTTGAATCATATCAAATTAGAATAGAACGGGGCTATTTTAATTGTCAAGGTTGGTAGTGTTACTTAGAATGTAAACAAATGTAGTAGTTTTCTATAGCAACTTGATTTAGTCTTAATCCATTGGAAATGCTCTTTCCCTCTTTCCTCCTCTCTTTCTCTCTCTGTCTCTCTCTCTCAGACACACACACACACACACACACACACACACACACTAAGTGCCTAGACTTTAAATAGATCTAGCAATTGGAAAGTTAGTAAGCCTAAGTTTTTACATAATTGCATTCCTACATTCTTGTAAAATCTGAATAGCTACCATTGGCAGTCTGCTCTTTTTCTAAAATCTAATTTGCAGCCAGAAAAGAATTTTCTCACCCCAAGAATCTGACCTAGCAGCAGAGACTGAGGAAAGCAGAAATGAACTAACTGTGAAAGCTCCTGTTTTTATTGTTCTCAAAAGGACACTGTCAAGAAGGCACAGTTCCCATGCACCTCCTGCCAGGGCACCGCAGAGGAAGGAAGGGACTTGTTCATGTCACATGTCTCCTTTAAGCAGAAAACAACACTGAGTGCATCTGGGAAGCCTGGGTCAAAGAGCAGCTCTGGGTTCCTCTTTTAGCCTGCTCTGAACTGGTGGGCCATCCTCAGGCTGGGAGTGCAGTAGACACCAGGAGAAAGACAGCCCCTGCTGTTGGGCATCACCTGCCCGGAGCCTGGGGAAGGACCTGGAGCTGTCTACCCTCTCTCTAGCCAGCAGGAACTGACCCACCCATCCTCCTTTCAGACTGAGCTGGTGTCTATGAGGAGAGCAGCAAATGCCGATAAGGATGAAAAGCACATGGGAAAAATGAACAAGGAGGGAACATCTGCCAAATGGAAAATGACCAAATTTTAGAGGGGCGGGACAGTCCCCTGCTCTTCTGCCACAGGGCACTGCCTGGATGTTGCGTTTCCCCATTTATGGTGCTCTGTATTCCGGCATTATGCAGCAGCCTCCCACAATCTCCCTTCTGCTTCAAAGCCTGCGACTCTCTGGCATTACCTGATTGGGATGGACCATTGGATGGCAGTGCTCAAGTTTGTGAATTTAGAGAAATTAACACTCAGAAGAGCAAAAACTGCGGCATTTCACCTTTAAATTCTGTGCCTAGAGAGGGAGTATGTTCTCTAACACAACACTAACCCCACTCCCAAGAAGAAGCTCCTGGAAAGATGTTTCCAAGGAAGTTGAACCATAAAACACTTTTGCACAAAACACCTCTACTGTGAGACTCGCCTCTCAAAAAGCTTCTTTTTCACATCATTGTTAAAGAGTGGACAGTTCTAGAAAAGACCTTTCCTCTTAGGAGCTCCCCACATCCCTACCAGAACAGAGCACCTGCAGAACGCCTGCAGCAGTGTGGCCCTTTGCCCCTGTATTACCAAGAAATGGGGAGGTGATGAGGCTCAGCCTCCTGCAAGGGTGATCTTCCTTGTTTGTTCAAAGGACCAAATTTCCTTGGCCAAAGAAGTCTCTTCCCCATGTTAATCCTATGCCTTGAAATAACATGCACCRTGACCCCAGCCACCTGGTTATGTCTTTATTTTTTTTTTTTAGATAATGTTTATTTTTAAAAAGGAAGAAGCAAGTGAGATTTAATTCTGTGCCACAGTGGAGGAACAGCTGAATCCACCTGCTTCTCCTTGGCAACCGACAGTCAGCAGCTCCTCCTGGCTTGGGGAAGAAGGGAATGGCAGGAAGGAAGAGAGTGTAGCTTAGGTCAGTTACCAGGAGGGACTGGGGTCATTGTCTGGTAACTTTGTGAGTCACAGGAGAGACTGTACATAAAGTTGTCATTAAAACGTTGATCTTGCACTTGTACATAACTATATAATAGTGTCCAGAATGTTCAGACATTCGGAGTGTACATAAAGCAGAAAAATATCATCATGTATTTTTATTAAATGTAATGACATCTGAGTTTCATCTAATATGTTTCTGTGCCATATACTGGGTATCCAATTCTGGGAGGTCCTTTTATCAGGCCCTGATGCATTGATGATGAAGCCAAGAACTGCACCACCTTGGCATTGATGTTTTCATTTGCATCTGGTACCTGGTCTGTCAGAATACCTATGGAGAGGCAGTCAGCGAGTCTATTCACATGGCAGTGCCAGAGGAGACTCGGGAAGCAGGAATGTCTGTCACTGTTGTTGGTTCTGCAAGCTCCTTTGGAATCTTCTGGCAGTCTTTTGGTACTCTGGGGAGTGAGGGATGACTAGACTCATCCTAAGAAATGTTTTCTCTAGTCTTTGAGTTCAAAGACTATATAACCTATGGAAATCAAGACTTTCCAAAAAGGGGTTCTCCAGCCTGCATTTTGTTGTGGCTTGGTCTATATTTTTAATGACTAATTCTTGGAACCATAGTCTTTTATACTGAAAACTAGGGGCAGGAGTAAGGAGTTTGGATTGTTGATAAATAGCTGCATTTCCCTACAGAGACCTCATACATCCTAGCCTCCCGTCCACCTCCTGCCCTCCCTGTGCACAGCCTGGAGAAAGGCCTTTGTTTCCCTCAAAGGGCCACCTGTCAAGGTAGGAAGAGGAGTGGAGAGAAAGCATCCCATACTCCCCTGAGCTAACCTGGAGGAAGACTGTTGGCAAAAGGCAATGGGAATATCCATGGGTAATGCCTAAAGGGCAAGATTTAAGAGGCACTGGAAAATTCGGGCAAATAAGACCAGAGCACTCTGGGTAAGAAAAAAGATTGTACCTTCCAGTACCCTTCCTGCTCTTTCAACTGGTGGAGCAGTTGGGGGTGGGAGGTGATTCACTTCCTTGGGTAAAGGTGACATTTTCATGAATACTTTTTGATCCTTCCATTTCATAGGTTCCCCCATTCAACAAATATTTACTAAATACTAACCTAATGCTAGGGCAGTAACCAAGATGGAAAAGTAACTTTTTAGAATTATAAAAATCAACACCTCATAGCTCTGTCATCCCAGGAGATCTTTTTTTGGGTCATTTCTGTGAGAATTGGCCATCCTGAGGGCAGAAGAAAACAGAGGCTTCCTGTCCTTGGGCCTTCCCTGGCTCCCCTATGAAAGTCTGAAATATTTGCCCATTGACTGACCAAACAGTTGCCCAGAATGGCTTCCAGATAAGCAGAGCCACTGCTATGCCTACAGGAAGGTGCTAGGGAGTGCAGAGGAAAACTTGCAACTTCTCTTCCAAAGGCAATAATGGAGTCGACTTTCAGAAACTGAATCTGTGCACAAAACATTCTGAACACTAGTGACGCCTGTTTCGTTGAACTAATTCTGGCTCCAGAAATGGTTTTGTTTTATAGTTATTTACAGTTTTTTTTTCTGTTTTGTTTGGGTTCAAGCTTAGTTTGTTAATATGTACAATTTAGCATCTATTGCACTCATGTAAATATGGAGTAAGTATTGTAAACTATTTCATTGCTGGGATTGTGGGTGTTATACATACATTTAGGACTGCAATTTTTTGGTATTTTTTGTATTGTAAAATAACAGCTAATTTAAGCAGGAACAAGAGAATTAAGGGAGGTCTGTGCATTTTAAACACAAATGTGAAGCACCTGTATATAAACAAAAGTAAATACTATAATACAAATTTCCTTCTGAAATAAAAGTAGATCTGGTAAAAATGTAGTTTTATTCTGAATGTTTAGTTTTGGTTTTGTTTATTGACATTTTGGACATGAGAACCTTAAGAAAAAAAAATGTTTAAAATGTTACCAGTTTTCAGGATCTGGGGATGTGGCTCAGTGGTAGAGCACTTGCCTAGCATATGTGAGGTCCTGGATTTGATCCTCAGCACCACATAAAAATTAAAAAAAAATAAAAATAAAAAATAAATGTTACCAGTTTTCAGACTGCCTCCGAGGAAGCATTTGGCAGTCATGAAGGGAGTTATCTTTTTTTCCCTACCCATTTTAATTAATTATTCCTCTAGATTTATTCATCAAGTCATTGAATTTTTTTTTTATACTGAGCACAAAGGGCCAGATATTTTGCACTGAACAAAATGGACAAACTCCCTGTCCTTGAAGAGTTTAGATTCTAGTGGGGCAGATGATAATAAACAAAATGTCAAATGAAACCAGCTCAAGAAGCCGAGGCAGGAGGATCTTGAGTTCAAAGCCATCCTCAGCAAAAGTAAGGCACTAAGCAACTCAGTGAGGCCCTGACTCTAAATAAAATACATAACAGGGCTGGGGATGAGGCTCAGTGGTCGAGTGCCACTGAGTTCAATCCCCAGTACCCTTCCCCACGCAAAAAAAAAAAAAAAAAAATGTCAAATGATAAGTTCTGTGAAGAGAGGTAAAAGGAGGGTTGGTATAGAAAGTGCTGGGGGGATTACTACTTAATATAGTGTGGCTGAGGAGGGCCATTTAGATAAGGTGACAGCTGAGCAGAGAGYTGAATGGAGGAAGTGGGAGTACAGATGTTTGATAGAAGAGCATTCCAAACAGGGAGCAGCAGGTGCAGGGGCCTTGAGTGGCAGCATGCCTGGTGGGTCCAGGTACTCACCAGGCAGCTGCCCCTAGGGGACTTTTTAGATATAGGTGGTGGTTTTGACTTGCTGACAAGGAAAGTACCAGTGTAATTTAGTGGGCAGGCCATGATGGGTGTGAGACTCTCCCATGTAACAAGGAATTGACCCACCCACCTCTTGCCCAACTTTCATATGTCTTGCTGGCTATTTGTGAAGATGAAAAAAAATCTATTTCTGATTATTTTAGAAACAGATAAATAACACCTATTATACACAAAGTATTTGAGGGCTGGTTTAATCTGCAGTTTTTGAGAAATACAACTAAACTACTTGTAAATCAAGAGAATATTGAAGTTTGTTTTCTTAAAAGCTTTACCAAGAGCTGATCATCATTCTTGGAAAATAGAATAGCAATGGCATCTTGACTCCACATCCCCACACAGATGCACAGGTCACATCTGAACACATACCTCATAGCCGTATATTAGGAGCTATGTAACATGCCTGGTAAGATTTCCTTCTTCTCTTTGTCCCCGACACAAGAAAAGGGATGATCTCAGTGACTTAAGTGTGCTGACTTGGCTGTGCTGCAGGACCATTTGTAAGCCTTTCCTGCTCTTTGCTTGATTCCTGTCCTTATCTCCAGTCCCTTGAATTTGTGTGTTTTATATTTTTATGTGGAYACTCATCCTAATTTTTCTCTCTGTATCTTCTGCCTTTGTCTGGAGGCTCACTTGGGTGTGGGCTGACATGTCTCTGGCAGAACAGTCACACAAGACCTCCTTCATTGCAGACCTTTGCAGGCCAGTAAAGTGGGGCCCTGTCCCTGCCACATTTATGGGCAAGCCAAGTTTTATGGCAAGCTGCTGTCTACATGGGGGACCACTCAGGAAGTCCTGCATGGGCTCTGACCTGGTCTTCTGGAAATTTCATTGGCCAGTGTTCACGCTTCCTGCAAAAAATGAGCTGGTTCTGTGAGCTTGACCTGGCCTGACTCCCCTGGGGAGGAGTGGCAGTGAGGGGTTTCCACATCAAATGTGCACTTAGGTGCTGGGCTTCAAGCCAGAAAGGCATTCATGAGGCATGAAGTTTCCACCAACAAATCCACAGAGCTTCCAGCACCTGCCTTTCTGCCTCAGGCCCAGCTTCAGTCACCTGCTGGCTGGGGAATCAATATTGGCAACAGGTAACAGAGACCCAGTTCCTGGGGGCGGGTGTGCAGATATAGTCCCTAGTCAGGACTTCAGTCTCCAACAGTATGTACATGACAGTGACAGCTGCCTGGCAGGACATGGTGGCTCACATGTGGGGTGGGGGCTGCTGCTGGAATCAGCCTTGAGGTTTTGAGCCAAACTTAATACCAGTGCACAAACCAGAACCTTTTTAGATAGAAGTAACAAAATCCAAACTCTAACAAGTTTAGGCAACTTTACTGGTTTCCTGAGGGCAACTATAACAAATTACCACAGTTTTGATGACTTAAAACAATGGATATTTATTCTCAACAATTCTGGAGGTCAGACATCTGAAACTGAGGTATTGGCAGGAACTTGCTCCTTCTGGAGGCTCTGGGGAGAATCCATGCCTTGCCTCTAGGTTCTGGTGGCTCCTGACATCCATGGGCTTGTGGCTGCAACCCTCTGACCTCTGCATGGCTTCACCTTGCCTGTTCCTCTGTCTGTATCTAGTCCCTCTCTGCATGGCTGTTAGGAGAGGTGTAATAGCATGTAGTGCCTACTAGGCTGGTCCAGGATAAGACCCTTCTCTCAAGATCCATAACKTAATCACATCTTTTGCCATATAAGGTTAAACACTCTTTTGCCTCTCTGGTGACATTTTCAGGTTTTGGGGAGTAGGACATGGGCACCTTTGGGACTGGTGGCAGCCATGGAACACTTTTACAATTTTCAAATAGTTTCTATTCGCTTCATCTGCCCAATTGTTTGGATGGTATATGCCTGTGCTTTCCTATACAGTATTTTACTTTTATTTGGAGTCATTTCTACTCTTTTAAAATGTCTACATTTTACTCCAAGTTGAAAATGGGGCAGGGTTTCACACACCTTCACATAAGGAAATCATTAGCAGATGTTTAATTCTTCATTTGGGCCACTGTGTGATTGCAGTGAACAGAGCAGGGTGATGCTTTCACGATCCCATCCCCCAACACACCCTGTCTCCCCAATCCAGGTATAGGCATCCATTCTCATGCAGGTGTGTGGAAAGGTAGAATTCCCTCCGCTTCTCCTTTTTGTTTGTGTGTTCTGTGCTGGGAATTGACCATTGAATCCAGGGATGCTCTACCATTATGTTATATCCCTAGCCCTTTTTATTTTTCACTTCTGTGACAGGGTCTCACTAAGTTGCTGAACCTGGCCTAGAACTTGCAGTCTTCCAGCCTCAGCCTCCCAATTATAGCTGTGCACCACTGCAGCCAACTCCCTCTTTTTTATGAGGGGAGAACAGGTTGAACTCAGCTTTGCTCTGCCCAACACCTTCTGTTTATTTAGAAATCAAGATGACCCTAGGCTAATATCATGCTCCAGGCCATAGAAAGAAACCCACAACTCATGCTTGGTCCATCAAAGTGCTGCCTGGGACAACCCATGAATGCTGGGAAAAGGGTACTTTTCTCTGTAGGGACTGCTAGTAAACCTGGGACACTGGAGTCCTACCTACCTCYTGGCGAGGGCCTGTCTGACTGCAGAGGAAAGCCACCAGGAAGACTGACCGAGGCAATATCATTTGAACCTGGAGACAGCTGTGCCTAAAGCCTGGGTTGCTCAGGCACATGCTCAAACCACTTTGAATTAATGTTATAATCAGGAGCATCCTGGCTGAAGCTGAGAGCYGGATGACAGTCTCAGCAAGCAGCCTGTGGGTTTGGTTTGAGTTGCAATGTACACACCCATTCCCAGAGCTGCTGTTCTGGCCTGGACAGCCCTAGGCCTAAGTTTTGGTATGGTCTGTACTTAACCACTGCATCTTAGGTCWGGCTCTCCAGGAGCTGAGCCCAAGACCAGGATTCTCACACAATGAAGCAAATGTCCTTAGGGGAACCTGTAAATGAGGGAGGCAGGAGGGCAGGGGCAGGAGCTGAGCCAGGAGGAGGTCTCAACAGACAGAATTGTCCCACCCTGAGGCAGGCCAGGCCCTTATACCCCTGCCTCAGTCAGTGCTGGACTGTAGCTGCCTCGGGAGCAGCATATAACCTAACAGGTGTTCTGGGCAGTGATTCTCTAGAGAAGGAGACAGCTGTGAGTTGGGTAAGCAACACCATCATCATCATCAGAGACCAGGAGGTCTCTGAGCAAGGCACCAACGGCCTCCAYCTCAGCAAAAGGATCCTTTTGGAAGGTATATGCCTATGCTTTCCTATACAGTATTCAATTTTTATTTGGAGTTTTCAGAAGGATTCCGGAAGGGGCAGCCTGGTAACCCTTTCCTCGTCAGGAGTCTCCAAGCTTCCCAGGAAGAAGGAAACAGGCAGAGGATTAGTACCCAAACCCTTGTGTTGTACACAGCCCTCCCCAAACTCCTTTGCAGAATGCAAATTTTTTTTTTCAGTGCTGGGTATGGAACTAATAGAATTCCCACCTCTCTTCCAAATACTGGGGATTGAACTCAGAGGCGTTCTTCCACTGAGCTATATCCCCATGTCTTTTTACTTATGTATTTATTTAGAGACAGTGTCTTGTTAAGTTGCYGGAGCTGGCCTCAAATTTGCAATCCCCCTGCCTCAACYTCCCAAATCACTGGGATTACAGGCATGCCTCACCATGCCCAGCCCAGGACTGCAATTTAACACTGTTTGTAGCATTTGTGGGTCACACTAGTTTAAGTGTGTCATCTGGCCACCCCAGATGCAAGGGAAGTTGAAAAATATAGTTTCTTTACCTGAAAAGGGACAAAAGCAAAAAAGTCCCTGACTATAGGGCCTGAGAGTTAATTCATTTCAGCATCTGTAGGTAGCCTGATAGGGCCCAGAGAAGTTCTGGGGACATCTGAAGTCACATAGGACAGGAGGGGCACACCCCACAGCAAACTGGTCTCCAGGCTCCCGAGGACCCACACAACATGAAAACAACGTCAGTCTCAGTGCATGTGGGTTTATTGAGCACAGCACTATTCCTAGTGCTGGGGAAACCATGGGAGAAAATGGATGACCAAGTGCCAGTTCAATGCAGGGACAGGATAGGGACTGGATTCTTTCACTCCAGGGGGTGCCCACCAAGCAGCATATCATGGACAGGAATCACTCTGCCAACATTAGTTCTGGGGTGCAGTTTTTGCCTAACTGGGAGGGTGCCCTCAAAGGCTGCAGTGCTAGAGGGAGTCTGTTTCCATGCGTTCCTTAGGGTGCTACCTGCTTGGGAGGCTGACACAGTTTCTTAGAGTTCCAGGAGTCCAGATGGTAATCTTGGGATTCTAGTGAGGCCTCTGCAAAGGTGACCCTCTCCTGTGCCTCCCCAGTGAGAGAATCCAGTTGTCTCAAGGTCTGTGAAGAAAGGGACCTACAACCAAGATGACTATTAATAGAAAACCAGGGCTTTTGCTGTCAGGCCCCCAATCTCCAACCCTCACTCCAGGGCATGGACACACAGGTGTCCAGATGGGCAAAGGGCAGGTGGGAGGGCTAGCCAGTCACTTTTCAGGGGGCAATAAACCAGAGACATGGTCCTGAACTCCAGGCAGTAATGTGTAGTCACCTTGTGGTCCAAGGTCTGCTGTCTTAGAGCAAGGACTGGAGAGCCAGAACAGGGAGTATGGACTGCAAGGAGCTCCCTTCCAGGGGCCTGTCGGCCGAGGACACCTTAGGAGTTGGAGCAGAGTGAGGACTGGAGATAGGAGCCTGGCACTGCTTTCTACCTGCACCCCATCCCCAGGCCAATCAGGCTTCCATCTCTGCAGGTCTGGGTGGGAAATCTCAGAAAGCGGCAGTGCAGGAACTGACTGCACCTACCTGTAGGAGGYGCTGCCCAAGGTTGTGGTGGGAATCCAGCTGGTCCTGCAGGATTGAGGGCCATTGGCTGTCAAAGGATTGTATGGCACCATCTATGGAGGAAGGGGTCCAGGGTGAGCTTGACTGGGAACCCCAAGCACAGCAAGTTCCCCTGGCATCTTCAAGGAATGGCTTCTGGGACAAATGGGAGGTGCATGCTAAGGAGTAACAAAATAAGGACGACTGTGCCCAGAGTGACTCACTACTCTAGTCTTCCATCCCGATAGGAGGTGACAATTATACCCCCATTTTACAGATGAACATAAAAAGGCTTACAGGAGTTAACAAACTTTCAGCTAGAAAGTGGCAGAGTCAGGTTTCAAACTCAGGATCCCTAACTCTCAGACCATTAAGACATTAGGACCCCATGAGAGGAGCTCACCAGAGGAGGGAGGCAGCACATAAGAAAGGAATCGGAAGTGTTGGAAGTAGAAGTCTCGACCCCTTGGTCAATCCCAGGCCCTGAGCAACTTGTCTTAACTCTTGCCCCCTCCTGACCTTAAGGACCTCAGCCTTGACACTACTAGGATTCTGTGACCTGGTCTCCAGAGACAGCGGGGCACGTTTCCCACAGGAGTACGATGACAGATAGCAGAGGAGGGAATGTGCTTGAGTGGCTGCAGCAAGAAGCCTCAGTTTCCTTCCCTCTAAGAGAGACTCTGCCAGCCAGGCGGTCACCCGGGCTCTCGTGCCACCCCTGCGAGGGCCCCTCACCCAAGCAGCGGTTCCTTGTAAAGAGCCCCCGGAAGGCTTCGCACTCCTCATGCCGGTTTCCGCTGGCTCTGCAGTCGCACCAGGGAGCCACCCGCGCGCTCGCGTTGTCCACGTAGTTGGGGGTGATCGCGGTGCCTGGGGGATCCCAAAGGAGGGGTCATCGGCCCATACTGGCAGAGGCATCTTCTGGAGAGCCCCGGCCGACGCCCGGATCCCAACCATGCGTACCCACCAGGCCCGCGTAGGCGCGCAGGCAACCGGGACCCTGGTCCCGCAGGCAACCKTCTTGGGAGCTGGGGGTCGACGCGCAGGAGGCCTGAAAGGCCAGGAGGCGGGGCCTGCGCGGGGTGGGGCGGGAGGGAGGTGAGCTGCAAGAGGATCCGCCCTGCTCAGCCCAGGAGACCCGCCCAAGTCAGCCCCGCCCCGCGCACCTGCAGACCAGGCTCTTCTCGCAAGCGTCCAAGGCTGCAAGGCAGGAGGGCGGCTCATGGCCCAGCCCCGAGAAGGCGCAGGCGGGCACGAAGGTTTGGCGCCGTCGCTCGGCGCACGCGGGGCTCGTACATGGACAGAAGAGCAGCGCGTGGGTGAGCGCCTGAGGACCGAGGGAAAAGAAGCGGCGCAGGGCGCGGTGGCAGCGGGAGCGGGGGCAGCTCCGGTGTGCGACCTGCCCCAGACACTGAGCCACGTACTTGGTGCGCAGCCGCTGGCACAGCGCGTTGGCTGAACACGCCTCTGCAGCGTCCACGCAGCGGTTCCCCCCAGCGGAGCTTGCAGACCCTGATGGAGGTGGGGGCAAACTTCAGTTCTCTGTGCACCCTACGTGCACTTTTCACCCCGCCACATCCCCGGAATTTGTGGGATGCTCAAGACCCAAGCGGGGACAGAGAGAGGACCAAAAGTGCGGCTGATTGGTACCGGCCGGACCTTGTTCACGGAATGGGCAGCGGCAGGTTCTGCGCGAGCCTTTGCAACAAGTTAGGGATAGATGGGATGCCTGGAGGCTGGTCCGAACCCTCCTCAGAAGCTAAGGCCCATAACTCCCCAGGTACCCCCACACCCACAACTGCAGCACTTTAGATCTAGAGATGAATCCACTCGACGCTTCCCACCCTCACAGGCCCTCCCTAATGGGGAATCAGTGAAGCTTCCTGAAGACCTGGCTAATAGCGACTTATCCGAARTGACACTGAGGACAGTGGCCGTTCATCCTTTCTTTTTGGCACAATAGAGCGCCTGACCTTTCCTCTTCTTCCATTCTTTCCCCACATGGAGACTCTTTGGTTCTATAGTATCTAGTTCTCCCTCTTTCCTAACCACCTACTGTACCTCCTCATGTCCTCTGTGGCAGAAGGTGTCATCCCTCCCTAGTCCTTCCAGATGTGCCCTCAGGGGGTCTAACTCATCCTGCCCAATCTGGACTCTGGCTTCCCCAGCCTCTCCACCAGCCAGGCAAAAGGATTCCCTGAAAAGGCTCAGGCCATTGGAGAGACCACTTAGACATGGCTGTGGGGTGTGATTTCAGAGAAATCCCTGATGGCAAGCTACAGGACCTTGTCATCAGGGGTTTCCATGAAGGTATGACCTGGTAACAGGTGATACCCTGCTTGAAGCAGAGAGGATTTCTGCCACAGTAGAATCACACAGATGGAGTAGACAGAGAGCAAGCTGTGCTCACATGTGCCATCCATCACCTGTGAATCCAGGCAAGCCATGGAATCCTGAAGTTAGGATTTCACAGATCCATCCTAGGACTTGAGTCATTGAAACCAAGCTGACTCTTTCCCCTTTCCCAGCCCTTTGCTGAAACCATTCCCCAGTCTGAAAATAAAGGGCCTAACCTGGCCCCTCATCTGTCTTGCTGGGCAGGGGGCATGCTGACTCAGGGCTGGGAGTCAGGCCCACTCTTTGGCACTTGCTACCTCTTTCTTCCTAGATTGTGGATTGGATGGCTTGGATAATGGTGATTCTTGCTGTGGCTTCAGGCTTGAAGGACAGACTCTGAAGGCTTGGAATAAGTACACTAGTGGGGGGGGGCAGATGGGAGAGGGCCCTCTCCCCCGCCCCACCCAGAGGCCCAGAGGCCCAGAGGCCCAGAGCAGCCTGCTCTCCTGCTTTGCTGGGTACATGCCCAGGCCTGAGCCATGCACAACAGCACCTAGTGCCACCTGAGGTCTTGTAACCTCCTGTTCCTTTGCTTACCTTTCTGGGAGCAACCTTGCCTCCTCTCCACTCTCAAAACAGCACACCTCAGCTTCAAGATATCCTGTGCCTTAAACCTTTACCAGACCCCATTCTTCATACCACACCAAGCCCTAGAAAGTCACCCCTCCTTTGTGTGGAGAAGGATGAAAGAAGGGTGCAGCAGATGAAAGGCAGTGAGACACTGAAGATGCCGGGCAATGAGCCCGTGTGAATCTCCAAGACTAGGAACGCAGCACTGGGCTGGGGCAGAAAGACAGCTGGGGGAGGRGAGGCAATAGGAAAGGAAAGGACCTGGGCAGAGGTACCAAGATGGGACTTAGGAGGTGGGTGTTTCAGCTAGGCCCAAAGATTGTGTACATAGCATGCGTAGCAGGGCAGACTGCTAGGCTTTTCTATGGCTCCCCTTTGTGTGTTCCAGCTTTTCCTGGAATCTTTCTCTCACCCTTCAGAACTGCCTCTGAGAAGCAGGACAGAAGGCCAGGGCTCAGGGTCCAAGGGAGGAGACAGGTGCTCACCCAGTATTAGTAGCAGCAGCAGCAGCACAGGCCCCAAGCAGTGTGCCATGCTTGACCACGAACAGAGAAGGACTGCTCCAGGCAGAGTCCCAGCAGGACAGTGCCCCTAAGCAGAAAAGCAGCAGASACGCAGATGTGTGCTCTGACCCATGCGCTCTGCTCCCTTTGGGAGGAGCCTTTGCAGAGGGAATGATCCTCCGCCCTCTCTGTCCCCACCCCAGGCTGCCTCTCCAGGTGTATCCAGAGTCATGAAATCCAACACCTGAATATGACAGACCCATTGCACTAGTGCCCCTGTACCCTCAAAGCAACACCCACACAACCCAAGGAGACTCTGCTAAACTTAACTTTAAGAAACCTCCTAACTTTTCCCCTTTTCTTTATACTTTTATTGTTGACCTTTTGTTAAGTAATTTTAGGCTTGTATAAAATTTGTGAAAATGTTAGCTGTCCCCTTATAACTTTCACCGAGCTTCCCATAATCTTACCGTCTTACATAATCATAGTACAACTGTTAGAACTAGGAAATTACCATTGGTACAATACTGTTAAATCATAGACCATTTTGAATGCCCCTGATTTTCCCACTAAAGTTCTTTTTCTATTCCAAGATCCAATTTAGTTTCCCACATGGCATTTAGTTGTGGTCTCTCCTTAATCTCCTCCCATCTGAAGGAGTTTCTGGGTCTTTCCTTAATACTATCCTTGATGCTTTTGAAGAACCCTGGTCTTCAAAAGGCATGCTTTGTAGAATGTTTATTTGATGTTTTCTTCTGATCTGTATGGGGCAACATTGTTTGACTAGCCAAAAAGTTATTTTATCAATAAATGTTGATATTAAAAATTTCAACATTGCGATTTTAAAAACACAAAAAAGAAATCACATCATCTGTCTTGACTTCTAACCCATTGTCTCAAATTTTCAAATCTTATTCAAATACTCAAATATTATTTCAAATTTACCAAAAGTAGCATATTTGTTGCTCAATATAAGTTTTTATAGGTGTTCCACCTCTGGGACAATGTGATAAAATGGGTTTTAAGGCAAATACAGTAGAATTCAGCTAACAAGGTGCAGGTCAGAATGAAATTCCTTATTAGAAGAGCCCATGAACAATTCTTCCTTCTTGGAAGAGATTATTTGAGAGTAAAGAGAGTGTTAATCTCCTAGAGAGAGTTGCCTGTTGTCTTTTTAACTCCCAGTGAGTTAAAAAATTATGAAAGAGAGAACACAGACAAGATAAAAGCCTATAAATTTTCTCTGACATTCTCCTATAACATATTATTTATTTTATTTTTTTACAGTAGTAGGAATTGAACCCAGGGCCCCTCATGTGCTAGGCAAGAATTCTATGACTGAGCTTTATCTCCCCCCTTTTATATATATGTATTTTTTATTTTGAGATAGTTTCACTAAGTTACCCAGACTGACCTTGAACTTGAGATCCTCCCTGCCTTAGCCTTCTGCATTTACAGCAGGCTGTCATTGCTATTATCATTCTATAAAGCATACAAATCTATGTTTGGCATGGATACATTTTTACAAAGCAAGCTGACACTGACATCTGTCAGGAGCCCCCTCTTCATCTTTGTGTTTTGCATAGGTCCAAGTCCCTATTGGACAACTGGGTATGGCTTTTGCTTGGGGGATGATGAAGTTGGAGGATTAATGGGGAATCGGTGAGGGAATCTCTTGAAGGTCATCCTAGAAGCAAATACTTCACACAAGAGACATTTTTGTCTGGCATGCATTCTTCCTTTTGGTGATAAAGTCTGTCTCTTCTTTTGTGGAAACCACTTCTTTTCCAGTCTCAATCTTTGTGGCTGTACTGCCTTGGTCACTGCCGGGGGGTGACGAATAACTTCTTGTACTTTGATACAGCAGGAGTAGGAGCCATTTATTGTAGGACAACAGAGGTATTTATACATTTCACACAGCTTATCTTAATTAGCATAAACTAGATACATCAGTCAACCAATAAGGAATCTCCACACTTAATAGCTCACTTTTGTTACTTTTCAAACCACTCCCTCTGGCATTTTGCCAGGCACCATCCAGACTTGTTTACGAACTCTAACATTTCTCTGGCAAAATGCCAGGTGTTATTTTGACTTGTTTACAGACTCTAACGGGTCACCTCAATCCTCCATGACCCCAGGCCCTACAGTAAATTACAGCAATAGTGATTGGTTCATGAACGAATGTGTAACCCAAGTTGGACTGATCAGCTGGACTAGTGCTGTTAATTCTGGGACTATCAAAGGTGCCATCTTTGCATTGGGTTGGAGAAAAGGAAGCCTGAAGCTACCAGGGACATCTTGAGGAGAACCTGTCTGAGTAAGAGTCCAACTTAGAGAGAAGCAAAGTCAAGATGCAGAGCGAATAAGTGTAATAAGAATTGTAATGCATTCCACTGTCATGTATTTTAAAAATAAAATCAATAAAACTAAAAAAAAAAAAAAAGATGCAGATCGAGAGGATGCGGAAGCTGACAATAAGTGTAATAAGAATTGTAATGCATTCCACTGTCATGTATTTTAAAAATAAAATCAATAAAACTAAAAAAAAAAAAAAAAAAAGATGCAGATCGAGAGGATGCGGAAGCTGACAATATCTGTGATGTGAGCTCATAGGTGTCTCTTTCCCCAAAGCTCGTTTGAGTTAGATTTCTGTCACCTGAAGTCAGAAGACCCTCTTTAGGACCACGTAGGAATTCTTTCTCTCCATGATTTTTGTTGTTTCTATTAATYTTTAAAACCGAAGCATTCGAGGACTGAGGATATAGCTTAGTGGTAAAGCACTTGCCTAGCATGTGCAAGGCCTGAGTTTCATCCCCCGCAACAACAAACAAACAACAGCAAACAAACCAAAAAAAAAAGGAAACCCAAGCATTCAGTGTATATTCTAAGAATCGCAGTCAGCCTGTCTACCCTGGTCATGGTAACGCTTCTATCTGTGGTCTGCTATGGTAATTTGCTGTCTGTAATCTGCTTCATGAATCGGGAAGCTACGGTAGGCTTTCTGCAGCTGATGATCATGGTCCCCGAAGCGTAGTGCAAACCATCATGCTGGTGCAGTGGGTTGTGTTTAATTCTACAAAATCTACTTGCTTTCTGGCCCATGGAAGGGGAGAGTAGATGAGGAAAGGTCACTCAAGACCAAGGTGGGACTACACAGGGCAGCGACCTCTTCTTTTGTAGGTGGCCACAACCACTCAGAGGTGTGAACACTCCCCTTCTTTCTAGTAGAGGAGTTAAAGATGAGGGTTGAGGGGGTGAGAGATGACTGCACACTCGACTGTCAGAGGAAGCACACCCACCCCAGGGGCAGACCTCAGCACCTGGCAGGTGGGTGGCCAAAGACAGTAAGTCGTAGTTGAGTTGGGCCAGTGCCCCCCAGCGTCAAGTCCATTGCCCCTCAGCACCCCTGCTCAGCTCTAGGTTGCCAAGGCTCCCTCTGTCTTGCAACCACTTCTGTACCTTTATGCTCTCTGCCTGGTGCCAGCTCTGCTCTCCCAAGTCTCAGTCCTCAAGTTCTCCACCCTGAGCCAGGGGATCCCCAGGCTTCAGATGTGCCTCTCCCCTCAGACATGGATTTCTCCTCCCTCTGCCCTCTTTCAACCCATCTGGTTCTTCCAGAAGTCTCCATTTGGTGGGAAGAGTGGAAGAATTGGTCCTGGGTACTCTTAAGAAATAGTCAAGGGCACTGAGTTTGGCTTCCCCTAGGGTCCTTTGTGGCTTGAGTCCCAGGAAGTTTGAATACCTTTTCCTGAAGGCCAAAAGGGGAGGCAGGTATATATTAATCATAGTTTTTTATTTTCTCTTCTTTGTGTCTGTGTGTGTTTAGGTTATCAAAACCAGGGCCTCCTGCATGCTTGTCAAGCTCTCTACTGCTGAGCTACATCCTCAGTCCTTTTGGTTTTGAGAAAGGGTCTTGTCTAGTTGCCCAGGCTGGTCCTGAACTTGTGATTCTCCTGCTTTTAGTCTCTCAAATATCTGGGATTATAGCTGTGTCCCACCGCACCCAGCACAAATCGGAGACCTTTAAACTTTTCTGTTTCCTTAGTTATGCCTGGTATTCCACTGGCTAATCTGATTTTGTGCCAGTGCCATAATGATCATTGTAGCTTCACAAAATGTCCACTTTGGGGGAGGCACAGTGGACTCTTTTATCCCCACCCCCAATTTTTTCTTGGTCTAGATACATTGTAATTTTAAATAATTTTATTTATTGAAGGAACAAAAACATGGGAATTTTATTTTTGCTGGTGAACTATTGAAATGGAAATACTGTTTTCTTTAGAAATACTGAATGTCTTTATTCAATTCTTCAAGACTGGAGGGCCACGACCATGCTTCTGGTGGAGAGTCAGCTTACAGAAGCTAATTAAGGTTATAGTAAATGCTTGGTCTCTGGCACTCTGGAGAACAAAATGCATTAGCAACTGAAGTACAAATAACGTATTTCAAGTGCAACTTATCAAGAGGGGCGAGCTGGATCTTGTCAATAGGTCTCTTTTTCAATCTCGTCAGCTCATATCAGGCAGAGTGGGTCCATCAGGATGTGGATGAGTCTTGACTCAAGACCATCAGCTCCCAGCATCACCCAGGAAGAGATTTCTGCTTTCATGGTACAAAGGGTCCTCCAGGTGGCCACCTGATGTTTTGCTGTGGGAAATACAATTGCATRGTTCTCATGTCAGCATCTCCCTTATGATAAGACCCAGAAGAGAGCTACGTTGCTTTTGTGCCTAGTGACTTTACTAAATTCACTTATTAGTGTCACTGGCTAGGGGTCTCAGGGTCTCTCTTTAGAGCAGAAGAAACCTTCATTTGAACTCTCCAGGCTCTTGATCATAGTCACAGAAAGGAACTTCAGGACACTTCAAGTTTTAGTAGCAGAGGAAGAGGTTGTTTGAAAGCAAAAGATACACACCCTAGGAGCTGAGCTGCCTCTTAGGTGGGATGTGGTTTATAATGTTTAAGAGAATGGATATTCAGAAGCAGGGGTTCAGTATGGATAAACTTTTCTGGGAGGCTCTTCATGGA